TTGTCAGCCAGGTGATCTTAGTATTTTAACTTCTAGAAAGTGTTTGGTGTCTTTCATGGTATTCTTAAAGAAATGAAACACAAGCGGCTAAATTTAATTGGCTTCAAAACTAGATGGATGATTGTGTGCCTGAGGGTAGCAAGCTAGGAGATTTCTGACTTCGTTTCTTTGGAAATTATGAGCCTTCTTACGTTTATTTTTATTTTGTGTGTATAAATGTTAAGTGCAATACATGTGTACAGTGCCAATAGAGGCCAAAAAAAGGTGTTGGATCCTCTGAAACGGGAGCCACAGATGCTTAGAGCTACCCATGTGGGTGCTGAGAATCAAATCCAAATACCCTGGAAGAAGTTCCAACCTCCCTTCAATCCAACATGGCCTTCATTTTCTTCTTAAATCTCTCAAACTTTATCTAAAGCTCTAATTTGCTATGATGGTTGCATATCCTTTTTAACCGCTGAGCCCTCCTTCAGCTCCTATGATGAGCCTTCTTAAAAGTAACTGATAACCAAGTCTGGCAACCCATACCTGTATTTTCAGCACTAAGAATATTGAGACAGGAGAATCACCACAGGTTTGAGACCAGCCTGAATTACACAATAAGTTCCTGGCCAGCTTGAGCTACTGGATGAGAACCAAGATAGATAGATAGATAGATAGATAGATAGATAGATAGATAGATAGATAGATAGATAGATAGATAGATAGATGGATGGATGGATGGATGGATGGATGGATGGGGCGCTGACATAGGAAGTTATTAGAATTCTAATCTTTAAAGCTTTACTTTTACCACCTAGCATGGTAGTGCATATCTGTAATCCCAGCACTGAAGAAATGAATGAGGCAGTAGAATTAGTTTAAATTCAAGGCCAGTTTAGGAAGCAAATTCATGCCTCAAAATATAAATGAAAACTCTTAAGTGAAATTTTTTTGGTTGGGGTTTGGGAGTAGGATTTGTTTTAGATGTTTTGTTGTTGCTATTTGTTTGCTTTGAAACTTCACACTGTAGTTATATATATATACAGACTGAAGTTATATATATATAGCCTAGTTTGACCTTGACTTGCAGTGATCTTACTGCCTCAGCTTTTCAAGGGCTGAGGTTACAGACATGAACCACATGCCAACTGAAAATAAATTTAATAAGTTAAAATTTTAGACCATGTGTCAAAACAAAGTCCTATCTAGCTATCCCATACAAATATGGGATCAAGGAAGTATTTTATAGAAGCAATTCAAGAAAAATTATTGCAGGGTTATAATAAATATAATCTTACAAGAGTCCTAGTATTAATAGGCTCTTGATTATAAATTTTGCACCTACCACAAAGGAGATAAAGATGAGAATCTCAGCCTAGTTTTTGTTGGTCAGATCAAGTCTGAAGTATATTAATTTGGTGCATCTTATGCTCTTCAAAGAATGTTGAAAAGGTAAATCTTGTGTAAGATTTTGGAAGAGGTACAACAAAGACAGATTTTTATCAAGTGCTTTTTGCAGCTATATGAGTAGATTCTGTAAACACACACTTTGTCCAAAGAAGAAGACCGGCAAGAGAATCTTCAAAAGAGTGTGGTACTTATTTAATTGATAGCATGTTTGTTCTTTCTCAGTGCCACAAACACACACACACAGCTGTAAGGTACTCCTAACATATTAAAAAAAAGTAGAAAGGAATTGTCACCAAGATTCTTCAGTGGGTAAAGACACTTGCCACCAAACCTGACCACCTAAGTTCAATGCTCGGTACTAACATAGTGGAAGAAGAGAATTGACTCCCATAAGCTGACCTCTGGCCTCCATACATACAGTAGTGGGCACACATACACACAGTAGTGGGCACACATACACAAGCACTAAGTTGAATAAATGTTTTAGAAGGTAGGAAGGAAATCCATTCTAATTATCCTAAATAATGGATACACTTCCGTATCATGCTAGAGTATGGTTTATTTAGTGTTGTTCCCTTCCTTACTCCCAAACAACTATATACTTACTGACATCTTCCATTATAATTAGTCCAGGCTTAGTAAACTATGTTTTAGTGATAATTTGTATAGAACTGTTTAATGTAGTAATTGCTTTGAACTATTGTATGGTCTAGGCTTTGGGTATGTTAACCCATTTTTCTAGCTGGACAAATAGAGTTCCTTTTCCTTCCATCCTTCCATTATACAGACCTGTGCTACTCTTTCGTACTTTGTTTACAGAAAGAAAATAATATATAAAAAATAGGAAATCAGTTTGTACTATAAAGAATTACACAGTCAATTTGAAGCAGCTGTTGAAACTTTGGGCTCTGCTAGGTTTACCCTATCTAGCTTTTAGTAACCCTATGTCACTAGTTAGCAGTCAGATGCATCTTGTACAATATTTACTGAGTTCCTGGTCTTAAACTTTCTCTCTTGAACCCTGCAGTTAAGTTGTACGTATTTTATTCTTGCTGTGTTTCTATAAGATTTCTAGAGTAATTAATGCTACCTATCAGGAACACCTTTTCCTTCCCTTCATCATGTCTCCATATTTTTGTATAAACCTACTGTTTATTATTGGGGTGGTTGGGACCTATGACCCCTCAGATCTCCCCAACCCCTCCCCCTTGACAGGATGCTGCTGTGGACCAAGTCCCATGCAGATGTTGTACAGATAATCAGTCAGGTCATGCCCTGAAGTCAGTGTTCACACCAATCTCCACTCCAGTTCTCCAGATCTTTCATTTGCTTTGCCCTTTCTTCCTTGGTAGAGATGATAGAGATGTCCCGCTTATGGCTGAACACCAACAGTCATCTTAGCACTTTGACCAGTTATGAGTCTGCAGTTAGTTACCACTGGTCACTACATTCTGATCAAAGCAGATAGCAACATTTCTCTTTGGCCATAAGCAGTTATTTAGAAAGCAGTTTAATGAGCAAATCATGTCCATTTAGAAAAAGAACAGTAATAGCCTCCTGACTAGAAGGCCGATACTTTTGTGAGGCATGGTGGCCTGAGTGTGTAATTCCAGCCCTTGGAAGGTGGAGGCCAGATCTCTGTGAGTTCAGGTCAGCTTGAGCTAAGAGTAAATAAGCCTCTAAAGGGGGAATGTATTAGCTTCCTTTTTTTAAGCCGTTCACTTCATACCAGCACTCTCATTAACCTCTCCTTTTTTTTCTCATTTATTCAAGATCAAGCCATCCTAAAAAAAAAAAAAAAAAACTTTCTTAGGACAAGTTTTATCTTCACATGTTCTTATCTTTCTTTGGCGTTGCAAAAGTTATAAAGCAGGGCTAGCAAGGTTGCAGTAAAGAATACTTTACTGCTCCTCAGAGGACCCAGATTCAGTTCCCAAAACCTACATTGGGCAGTTCATAAGTGCCTGTAACTGTAATTCCAGGGAATCCAGCACCCTCTTTGGCCTTCACAGGCATGTGCACTGGTGTGGCTGGCAAACAGAAACAGATAAGGAAATAAACCTTTAAAAGCAAACAGAAACACATACATACACACAGATAAGGGAATAAACCTTTAAAAGTTTTAAAGCAGTTGAGACCTATAACTGACCTCTTTTCTTTTGCTTATAAGAGTAGTGATAATGGGGCTGGGGAGATGGCTCAGAGGTTAAGAACACTGACTGCTCTTCCAGAGGACACTGGTTCAATCCCCAGCAACCACATGATGGCTCACAGCCATTTTTAATGAGATCTGGTACGCTCTTCTGGCCTATAGGCATACATAATAAATAAATAAATCTTTAAAAAAAAAAGAGTAGTGCTGATGATGTAGCAGGAGCCCAGAGTCATGATAAGATCATTTTAGATTGTGATAAATGTTGTGAAGGAAATAGCATGAAGTGAAAGTATAATAAATGAAAAGGGATTGCTTTGGATAAAGTAATTTAAAATGAAATTTTTGTTTAAAATATAATTAACATCTTGATGTTTGTCTTGAAAATGAGGATATTTAACAACGATAAGGTGCAAACAGTCTGAACTATTTATAAATCTGTTTTTAATAGTGCTCATGATATGACTTTGATTCTATATTCTGATTTTAAGTCAGAACTTAAAAGTGTTTTTATATGTTTTCTCCAGTAATAAGACAGATAACTTGCATCTATTGTAGTTGATTTGACAGACTTGTATTCAATGTTTCACACCTGTCAGACCCTATCCTATGCATTGGAAATAAATAGAAATAAAATCAAAAACAAAGATAGTTTTTATGGATAATTTAGAATAACAAAGGATGTGTGACCTATCATTGACTTTAAAATAATATGTTTGTGGGCTTGGTGGCACGTATGTCTTTAGTGCCAGCACTTAGGAAGTAGAGGCAGCATATCTCTGTGAGTTCAAGGTCACCTGGTCTATGTAGTGAGTTCCAGGACTGCATAGCCAGAGCTACATAGTGAGACCCTGTCTCTAAAAGACAATAACAACAATAATATAATGTCATTATGAGAAAATTCCTTCCTCACTAGTATTAATGTTTTACAAAGATGTCATGCCGCCTTTAAAATTGATTGTCTTCACCAGACTTTCATAGTCTAGTGGAATTTGCATTCTAAATGAAAAGAAACATAGGCACATGAAAAACGAAGCAAAGCAAAGATCAAGCTATTGCCTTAATTACTACATAATTGAACAGCGAGAGATCACTTTCCATTGGGTTTTTTTGTTAGAAAATAAGAATGTTCATCTTAGAGTATGAATAGCTGGGAAGTAGAATGGAAGCCAATTTGGAGACAGACACAGGAGGGAAACATTGAAAGAGGTGGGATTTCAAGGACTTGGATAAATAGCCTTGACTGAGTGAAAGGTTTGTATTTATAACTAGTAAAAGATAAAGCAGAGACTTCATATGCAACAAGATTTGGGCTGTGTATAATAGTGATATGTTTTTATAATCCTAAGTTTACCATCAATTATTATGTAAAGAGGAGTCTTTACACCCCTAAATATGTTCTGTAGATTTTGAGGTCAGAGTCCTACTCAGGTTAAAATGATGTTTTGTTTTTCAGTTACTTACACGCCAAGTCAATCATCCACAGAGACCTCAAGAGTAATAGTATCCTTCCTGAAACTGGTCTGCGAAGTCTGAAAGCATCCTGACTTTTTCTTCTGCATTTTGTCTTCATGCTATGTAAAAACAGTTTCATGCTAAGTGTAATATGCTACAAAGAAAATGAATTGATTTACATGAGAAATAATAGAGCAGGATTCAAGTTGATAACCTTTCTGTATGACTGGGCACTATAGGGAAAATCTATATTATAGTAGGGCTTTTGTCTTGCATACATTTTATGTGCCCTATAAAGTGAATATTTTGTGGCTTTAATTCTTCTAATCTTGCTGAGTAGTAACTGAGATATGAAACTGAAGGTTCAAAAATATGTATCAATGACATGAGGAAAACAATTTTTCTTTTTTTTCTGAGTCCAGACATATCTTTTCTGATATAATCCTTATTCTAATAAAGAACCTGTGTAGCTTTACCAGCAGTGTTAAAGGACATCTGGGCCAACTCAGAAAGTTTACAGGTTTCTCATAGACTTAGAAAATAGACTTAACCTTATGCTCACATGTTTCGAGCCTGAGAAATCTTAAAAGCGGGTCATAAAACCTAAAGAGAACTAATTCTTTTTAAAGCATATTTGTTGACTTTAGTGGGAAATATGAATTACTGTATTTTAAAAATAAAATCTTACTACAGAGCTATAGAAACTAGCTACTTTACCTGAAATCTTCAGAACACTTTCTGTAGGTGGAAAATGAGATCTATTTTTTTCCTTTACTAACTACACCTCAGATATATTTCTTCATGAAGACCTCACGGTAAAAATAGGTGATTTTGGACTAGCCACAGTGAAATCTCGATGGAGTGGGTCCCATCAGTTTGAACAGTTGTCTGGATCTATTTTGTGGATGGTAAGAATTAAGGCTGTTTCTCAGTTGATCACATTCTTTATGCTAAGCAGTGACTAATTACTCAAAAGTCACTGAAGTTCCCACTATTCACAAGAATCAATATAGTAAACCAGGCATAAAGGCACATGCCTCTAATCCCAGCACTCAGAAGGCATAAAGGCACATGCCTCTAATCCCAGCACTCAGAAGGCAGAGGCAGGTAGATATCTGTGAGCTTGAGGCCAGTCTGGTCTACATACTTCCAGCACAACCAAAGCTACATAGTGAGACTTTGTATCCAATATATATAATTTTTTATGTAAATAGTCTAACTTTTTTCTTGTCTTTAAAAAAAAACATTATTGCAAAACTAGTTTCAATATATGTCAATCAAAATACATATATGTTATAAAATGTTTAAATGTTATTGAAACTTGTTTAAAATGCTTCATTTGTTGGGTTTGGTGGTACATACCTTTAATCCCAGCACTCCGTAGGTAGAGGCAGGGTTAGGTGAGACCCTGTCTAAAAATAAAAATTTAAAAAAAAAGAAAACTTTTATGTTCAAATGAGGTGTATAGCCTGCTTTTTATCTCTTTTTTAAAGGTTTGCAGTTTAAGGCATGTCTTAAGAGACCTATTCTTAACAGAGAGGCTGTTTCACACTTTTATTTGAGCCTAAATTGGAAATAGTCCTTCTTCATACTAGAAAGAACTTTATAATTATGGGGCAGTTGGAAGAGGAAAGACAAGAGAAAAAGACCAGGGATATTTTTAGTCAGCTTTGTGCTGTCTGCACAGGTCTGTTTCTTCTTGTTCCTGCTTTGTAGAAAAGAGGTTCTAAATGTTGAGAACACAGTTACTACAGCAGGCTAGCAGACAGTTGAAGAGTCCTTTCAAGGAGTACTGCTATGAACCCGCAGTGATTCCTCATGACCTGTCAGAAGGCCCATACGGCCTTTTCCTAGTTTTTCTCCTGCCCTTCAGTCAGAATGACATGCTGCAGCTGATGGAATGTAGATGCACATACAAGGTTCCAACCAGCTGCTGTTAAGCCAAACCCTAGGCTTGTAGCTCTACTGTCACTAAATTTTGTTTTTTAAAACATAGTTAGTTTTCATTAAAAGTAGGTATTCTCTGCTAATATCTAGCCATTTATTTATGGTTAAATATTTAATATTTAAATGAAATAATGTAATAGTTGAGTTTTAATATCTTAAGTATTCATAAAGGTAGTATGTACAGACAAATGCTCTGTAGGATCTGTGATAAATATTTGAATAAAAGCAATCCTGAGTCCAAAGAATTTTGAAATATCAACTCTAAGTGGGATACAGATGTTTTAGATGTCTTTATGGTTTTAGTCCTTAGTTGATTAATCTAAATTAATCTGCCCCAATACTTTTGGGTCACCTTATTAGAAACAGAAAAATCAAAGGACTTTCAAAGCCATAATTCCCTAATTTCCCAGAACAGTATGTAGCAGTCTCCAAGAAGCAGATTCTCCAAAGTAGTGGTCTAAGTTTGCCAAGGTAAGCCTAGGGTTAGGTTGAGTATGCTTTCTTGGATCAGTAATATAGATCACAGAAATGGCAAAGTGGAAGAGGCGTGAGAGCTGTGCTCTGGCCATTAACTTTGAAGTTTCCTAACCTCCCATGTGTCTCTTCAATCTGAAATGTTAGGTCTGACTAGTCCATGGCAAGACCCTTTCTTAGATTCCATATTACAGTTAGCTAGGTTTCATTTTGAAATTCTTTGATACGTGTTTAACTGTTTAGTTTATTAGAAGAGACTGTGATGGTTGTGCTCTGTCCTTCAGGCACCTTTAAGGCACATACTTGTAACAATGGTAGCAGTGTGCCCCAAGGAGATGGGGGAGGGCATTTTTTTTTCTGAAGCTATAGAAGGGAAGTTTAAAGCTTCAGCGGGGTGTTGATTTCAACAGTAGTATAGGAGTTGCTCCAGGTCTGGTCTCTAGGTTTGCTCCTTTTAAAAGCCTTAGTTTATATAGTTAGTAGAATATTATACAAGATGTTTATATTTAATACTGATTACTTTTTTGTTTATACCCTGAATCAATGAGTTCATCTTTTATTCTACCATGCTAAATTTTAAGAGAACAAGAATAGCCAAAAATGCACTTCATTGTTAAGTTAACCTTTCCAATTGGTGCCTGCCTTCAGGAAAAAATATGGGGAGCTGGAGAGATTGCTCAATCATTATGAGCTCTGGCTGTTCTTTCAGAGAACTTAGCTAGATTTAATTCCCAGAGCCCACTTGGCAACTCTCAACTGTCTGTAAGCTCCAGTTCCAGGGCATTTGATGCCTTCTTCTGACCTCCATAGTGCACAAACATATATGCAGGCAAAACACCCATATACCAAAACACTAAAATAAATAGGCTGGGTGTAGTGCCATATACCTTTAATCCCAAAGGCAGAGGCAAGTAAATCTCTGTGAGTTCCAGGATAGCTAGAGCTACATAGTGAAACCCCGTCTCAGATAGATAGATAGATAGATAGATAGATAGATAGATAGATAGATAGATGATAAATGATAGATGATTTGGGGGTATGGAATATCCACAGCCTGAAATAATAGTTTGGTTATAAACCTTGTTATATAACCTTGAACTAATTACAGTAGTCTTTTCTACTTTTATTTATATCTTAGAAGAAAGAGAATTTTATAGGAAAATGTTTATAAATTAAAAAACTGAAGATATGTCACACGTTTCTTCTAAACAGATGGCATGCAACTTGTCATCAAGCCATCTACTGGCAGTGAAAGCACACTAAATTTTAAGAGACAGTTCTCCAACTTATCTAAACTCTGTCCATTTCCCCCCCCCCAAAAAAAAATGATTTGTTCATCACACTTATGTGTGGTTTGTTTTATACCATATTACTAAAATAGCAACTGTCAACAAAATACATGACAAAAACAAACAGAGAAAACATTCTCTTCTACTGTTGTCCTTTGACTCTTTGGGTCTCCCCATAAATCTTGATCAGTGTTTCTTAACATTGGGTGGACAGCATACTCAGGTGGAAATTTGAAGCATAGTTAAAGCATGGGTCCCACTTGTAGGCTCTGATGTTCTCTGTTACTCAAGTGTAGTCAGCACTGAGCAGGCTGCACAGGCAGTTCTGACCTGCTGCTGTAGTTGAGTACTGCAGTTCCTCAGGAGATACTGCCACTGCCAGGAACTTTGTCCTCCAGCTGTTTTTGCAGTTTCATTAGTACCATTTGCCACTTCTTCAGTTCCTTTCTAACAAAACAGTATAAGAGATGCAAGGTGAAGGAAGAAACCTACTAGTTCTTTACCTGTCATTCACTGTTTTTCATATAAATATAAAACTGAGTCGTACAGTAGAGTGACTAAATTATGTTAAAATTTGGTAAATATGATTTGGTATTTGTTCTAGAAGCAACAACTAAAATTTCTTTATACAATTTTCTAATAACCTGTTGTGTGTTACTGTTAGTAAAGTGTTTTCAGGGGTGGCTTTTGTTTGTTTAGTTTTTGTTTTTTGAGGTTTTTGGGTTTGTTTTGTTTTGTTCTTCTTAGGACAGGGCTTCTCTGTGTAACAGCCCTGACTGTCCTGGAGCTCACTCTGTAGACCAGACTGACCTCCAGTTCACAGTGATCTGCCTACCTTTGCCTCCCAAGTTCTGGGATTAAAGGCGTGCTCCACCACTGCCCAGCCAGTAAAGCATTTTTTATTCCACACATTTATGATGTAACTTGGAAGGACATTAATTACTTGTGCCTACTCCCAAGCTTTTTTATAAGTACAAATCTAGTATTTCTTTGCTATTCGTGAACAGGAAGTAGAGACTGACAGGGTAGTCATGAGACGTGCTTAGATGGCAGTGATGGTTTGTTCAGAAAGAGGATTGCTGGTAAAATTATAAAATCTCAGTAATGTATCATGGAAATTCAGCTCAAACCACCTTTCAAAACATATAAAGTGGGGTTTCCCCCCTTTTTTTTTTAGTTGATTTTATTCCTTTGACCATTAATAGGAGAATACATAGTTGATGATTTCTTTAAATAAGGTGTTGCTCTCTGGGAATTATCATAGTTTGTATTTCAGTCTTTATTCAGCTGAACTTCAGGATAAACTAGAACTTTTCTTCCTTATCTAACAGGCACCAGAAGTAATCAGAATGCAAGATAAAAACCCATATAGCTTTCAGTCAGATGTGTATGCATTTGGAATTGTTCTGTATGAACTAATGACTGGCCAGCTACCTTATTCGAACATCAACAACAGGGATCAGGTAAATATTTATCATCTCTGGGGGTTATTTTAGTGTTTCTATTAAGGTTTCAGTTCTTTGTAGGAAGGAAATCTGAAGATGGACGTAAACATGAATGATAGAGCTCTTGATCTCTGTAATCAGCTGTAGGAAATGTTTATGTGCTTTTCACAGTTGTAAGGCTTTACTTGAAATGTTGGCCATAAATGTAACAATGGAGTGAAACCCCCAATTTTGCAACTAGAAATTAGAAGTATAACAATAGAGATAATACCTGTTTCTTGGTAATAGCAGAGCTAAAAGAATGAACTCTGGAGCCTGTTGTGATATATGCATTTTTAACCCCAGCACTCAGGTGGCAGAGGTGGACAGATCTCTCTGCGAGGCCAGGCTGGTCTAGAGTTCCAGACCAGCCCGGCCTTTTTTTTTTTTTCCTTAAAAAAAAGAAAGAAAGAGAGAGAGAGAGAAAGAAAGAGAGAGGACTGTAAAGATGGCTCAGTGATTGAGAACACAGTTTCTCTTCCAGAGGACCTGGGTTCAATTCCCAGCACCCTATGGTAGCTCACAACTGTCTGTAACTCTAGTTCCCTGAGATTTGGCAATGTATATAAAGGAAAGTTAAAAGAAATTTAAAAAGAAATAAAGAATGAACTTGCTATAATCACAGGTATACTTTTATCCTTTGATTGTATCACAGGTTGTGATGTCAGCAAGGGCTCAGCTATGAACATAAATTTATATCCAATTCTTCCATAATTATTAAAATGCTGTTTAAAACACACAAAAAAGCACAAGAAACTTGGAAAATGGCTCATTGGAAGTTTTTGCCGTATAAGCAGAAGGGACTGGGTTCAGATGTCCAGAAACGTAAAAAATTAGCTGTGGCCATTCCTATCACTTCAGCACTGGAGGGAGGAGACAAGTGGAACCCAAAAGCCTGATTTCGAGCCTCTAGTTGAAACATTAGTTCCATGTTCACTCTGTGAAAGAAAGAAAGAAAGAAAGAAAGAAAGAAAGAAAGAAAGAGAGGAATGATTGAGGAAGATATCCTGATGCCCACTTTGGCTTCAGCATTTATTCAGGCTAATGTATCCTCGTGCATACGCATGCATGCACAGACACACATACCCCCACAACAAAAGCAGGAAGTATGAAGGGGCTGTTATATCAGGTTGTGTTGTTTCTAACAGAAAGATAAATTTTTACTTCTTCTTCTCCTAAGTCTCATTCTCTGTTCCTTCTTTCCAAGAGATGCCAACCGATATCACTTTACAAAGCTTTGCTCCTCTGTGTTTTCACATAAATCCCCTTAGGCTTCTCTTTCTTATTTCTGTCCCTTCTCCCACTCTCTTCACTTTTTAGCAGAATAGTATTCTGTAATCCTGACAGGACTTGAAATCTTAATCTTCTTGCCTCCATCTCTAAAATATTGGGCGTTCCAGTTTGTGCCATTGATTCCAGTTTACCATCTCCAAAAAGTAAATGAATTATCTTTACTAAAATTAAAGTATCTCTACATTTTTAAAAAGTATGTGTGAATGTATATGTGAAGAAGAGTAATGGTAGTTGAATTGTTCATTAGAAGATAGTTACCCATATAAGCAATGATTAAGAGTATTTATGCTGTATGCTGTGGTTTGCATCATACTCACATAAAAGACTGCTTTAAAATGGAGATTCTAGGGACTGAAGAGATGATTTAGTAGTGTCCTACTGCTCTTGCAGAGAATTTGAGTTCCGTTCTCAGCAAAAACATGGTGGCTCACAACCCACTCAAGGGGATATGACACCCTCTTCTGGCCTTCATGGGCAATTGTATACACACGCTCATACTCCCATACAGATACACTGTCTGTACAGTAATTTAACATAAAAAAAAAACTTTACATTTTAAGGCCGGGCAGTGGTGGCACACACCTTTAATCCCAGCACTCTGGAGGCAGACACAGGTGGATCTCTGTGAGTTCGAGGCTAGCCTGGACTACAAGAACTAGTTCCAGGACAGGCTCCAAAGCTACAGAGAAACTCTGTCTTGAAAAAAAAAAATCTTCACCTTGGACTTCCCACGGGCAGGGAACCCTGATTGCTCTTTGGGCTGATGAGGGAGGGGTACTTGATTGGGGGAGGGGAGGGAAATGGGAGGCGGTGGCGGGGAAGAGACAGAAATCTTTAATAAATAAATAAATTTTTTAAAAAATCTTTACATTTTAATAGAGATTCTAGGGCAGATTGTGTTTCATTGGGATACAGTCCAAGCACATATACTTTTTTATGCTTCTGGAATAATTCTGATGCATACAAAAGATGATAATTACTACAAATTGTAAAAGTAAGTAAATGTGTCGGGCGTTAGGCTGGAGAGATAGCTCAGAGGTTAAGAGCATGGGCTCTTCTTCCAGGGGTCCTGAGTTCAGTTCCCAGCAACTACCACAACCATCTAAAATGAGACCTGGTGCCCTCTTCTGGCGTGCAGGCAGACATGCAGACAGAACACTGTACACATAAATAAATCTTTAAAAAGAAAAGTAAGCAAATGTAGAGTACTTGTGTACATCATGATTCCCAATCAAATGATAGACTTTATGTGTGTATCCCTTCATTGAAGGGATTTTTTTAATTATGTTGTTATTGTGTGTATGTATGACATGTATATAGTGTACATATGGAAGACAGCTTTGTAGCATTGGTTCTTCCCTTCCACCTTTAGAGAGGGTCTAGAGATCAAGTGCAGGTTACTAGGCTTATGTGCCAAGAGCTTTCCTCACTAAGCTGTGTCTCTGGCCCAGTATATCAGAGCTAACTTCTGGTCTTTTTGTTGATAATCTGACTTTTAAACTTCAACTGTGATATGGTATGAAAGAAATACGTTCTCATGGTAAAAGGATACTTACCTTTTTGAGAACTATCTATTGGTTTTCAAAAAAACTGTACTACTTTGCATTCCTGGACCCCACAGGAGGTTCTAGGTTGTCCCATCAGCCACCACTTATTATTTTTCTTTGTAGATATATCAGTAGTGTGGCTTTAGTTTTTCACTTCCATAGAGACTAATAAAATTGAATGACCTTTTATGTTTCGTCGTTACATACATATACATTTTATTGTATTTTTATATAAAGATATATCTGCTCAAATATTTGTTGATTTTAAAAATTGTTTTTCAAATGCAAGTGTGTTCTAAGTTATCCTGCACTTTATGTAATGATTTTTTAAGGGCTCACAGGTTCAGAGATTTCAGTCTGCTGTTTATGTCTTAATTGGTTCTTGGCCTATAGTAAAATGGAACATTATGACATCAAGAGCATGTTGTGGAATAAATTGTCACCTCAGCAGACAAGAATACTGAATCTCTGTATGACATTTACCCAACAAGGATTTTGGTTGAAATATATGTAGGCAGGCAGGTTGGTAGGTTTTTTTTTTTAATGTGTTATAAAGTAATAGCAAAGAATGTCAATTTCAGTATAACTTGACTAAAATTTAAAGATCCTCATCTGGGCAGAGATGGTGCATGCCTTTAATCCCAACATTCAGGAGGCAGAGACAGGAGGATCTCTGATTAGGAGGATAGCCAGGACTACACAGAGAAGCTCTGTCTCAAAAAAACAAACAAACAAAACTTTAAATACACTTAAAATGTATCCAGTAAAATCTAAAAACTTGCCCTGTTTAATGCTCTACATTGGCATGGTTCCTTTTTCTCTTCAAGCTATGTGTAGTATTCTCTAACCCCTCCCTCATGGAATTCTGTCCTTATTTAGCATACTGTTATGCTTTTAAGACTTTTTTATTGTGCGTTATATCTGCAAGAAATAATATGAATGTAAGTTTAAATTTGGAATTCTAAAAATTTTTCTTATGACTTTAAGTTCTCAGGTGGGTTATTTTTAAATGCTGAGTTCTGCCATTGCTGTCATTTTAATGTATAACAGATAAATTTTATCGTATAAAAGGTAAAAAATTTTATTGAAAGTATATAGTTTTGGCTTTTTATTTGTTTCATTTTAGAAATAGGGTCTGGCTGTGTAGCCTAGCCTGATCTTGCACTCTTGACCCTCTTGCCTCTGCTCTCCAGTGTGGGATTACAAGCATGCCTCACCTACTTAACAGAAATGCCTATCGTGAGGGTGGGGGCCAAAGGCAATCCTGGGTATCATTCTTCAGATTCTGTTCACTGTGTGCGTTGAGACAGGATCTCTTCCAGCAAATTAAGCTAGACTGGCCAGTGAATCCCATGGATCCACCTGTCTCTACATTCACATCACAGGAATTAAAAGTGCATGCCACCATGTTCAGCCTTTTTATGTGGCTACTGAAGCACTTTGCCAACTGAGCTGCCTCCCCATCTTCAGAAGTATGTGTCTTAATACCATGGTATTTTTCATTTTTCTCTTCAATTTATGTATACATGGATGAATATAACTTTTTTGATAGAATGAGTTAGGGCTTAGCATTAATCTTTTCCTTGTTTTCTCTTTAAAAATTTGAGTACTGAGTATTACTCAAGTAAGAAGTAGATGGGGCATATAGATGTTTTGTCACAGCTATATGCAGAGTTTAGTGGTCCCCAAGACAAAAAGGGACTGAACTCAAAGTTCACTGAGGGCTCTTATACTCACAGTTCTGATTTGGCACAATGAAAAGAAGATAGATTAAAATCAACCAAAGGATGAACTCCGTGGAGCGGAGTCCAAGGAAGTTTCCCATGTGGAGCTATGCACGTGCTAAATTCTCCCAGCAGGAATGTGTGACAGTAACATGGAGTACTGCCAACCAGGAAAGGTCTCTGTACCTTTTCTTTAAGGATTAGTCTCATAGATATGGTTGGCTTTTTAAGGCTGACCTTAGTCTCTAGCTCCTAAAGAAGTCAGATTAGTGCTACATAACCCCAAACTCCTCTATATGCTATATTGATAATATCCCAGGGGTCATCCCAGATACCACACAGAACATCCTGAGTGAAGGCTTAGGTGGTCTCCTAGGAACCAAAGAAAAAGTTCCAGCTCTCTCTCTGGGCAGGAATATTCCTTTACAGCATACTATGTCACTCTGTTACTTGAACTCATTCCTGTGGTATACCAAAAATTACATTGTGATTTGTCATTAAAATGTATTTTAATGATCATCTGAAAATTTAGTTAACTTTCTTGAAGTCAAAGAATTGAAAACCAAGAAACATTGAAAGGAATTTCTTATAGTTCATTGGAGCCTAGTTAGATGATTGCATTTGGGAATGTCTTTTTGATGTCCCATAATTTTTATAGCCTGGAATGATATTTACTAGAATCTATATTGATAAAATGTAAAGACCTTCTGTAAAATAGAGATTACATGCAACAGGAAAAATTCTTTACACATATGCCCAAGTGGTTCTCTGGCAAATCAGTTTTAAAATTTATTTTATTGCTGTGTACCCACACATATGCAAGTTCCTATAGAAGCCAGAAGGAGGGCATTGAGTTCCCTGGAGCCAGAGTCACAGGTATTTGTGTGCTCACAGGATATGGGTGCTCGGGTCTGAACTTAGGTCCTCTGCAAGAGCAGCAAGTATTCTTAACCACTGAGCCATTTCTCCAGCCCCTAGATTTAAAAAAATAAACTAAAATAAAAGTACATTTGTGATAGACACAGCCCCTCTTTACCAAGGACCACAGGTCTCATTATAGAATGTAGATAAGACATATTCACAACATTTAATAATCAGATAAAGTACTAAATGATCATTACAGTTGTTGGTAGTGAGGAGAACATTATCATTTCTAGATGTCGAAATCTAGAGAAAAAAGACATGAGGAGCACAGTTAGAGTTCAGTTACGTAGGCCTTGGTTTATTCAGATTTCAGGTAGCTGAAGAGAACAGGAAAGCATTACAGGAGAAAAGGCACTGAGACCATGAAAATGTGAACAGCAGATTTGTATTTGGATGGTCTTCTCCCAGTTCTTTGCTGTCACCGTCTTAGCTGTATTATCTCGGCAAGTCCCTTGATTTGTTTTTTAAGCATTGTATTTTAATCTAGAACATGGGATCAATTCCTACACCTTGTGGAATTCTTTCAGTACAAAAATAGGTAAGAGTCCAAGAGTCTGAAGTTTCTCAGCCTTTCAGGCTTTTCATACCTTTCCTCCCTTTCCAAGAATAGCTCAGTAAGCATATTGAACTGCTGTCCTGTGTGGATAGTAGTCCAGACTCTTCTCCTCCACTCTCTTGGTTATCCCCTATTACCTACTGCTAACTTATATCACAGGGGCTACACTAAATTAAAGCATTTTTTTTACTGTAGGTTGATAAATGGAAGTCAAACAGGAAATAAATAACAGATATGCCCATTTCTAAAATTCTTCAGCCCTGTTTAGAATGGAGTTATCCTACTTTGTTTCTTTTTTAAATTTTCATTGCTGATATATTTGTTTATTAATGAGAGTGTATGATTTGCCTATTCCCTTCAGATAATTTTTATGGTGGGACGAGGCTATCTATCTCCAGATCTCAGTAAGGTACGGAGTAACTGTCCAAAAGCCATGAAGAGATTAATGGCAGAGTGCCTCAAAAAGAAAAGAGACGAGAGACCACTCTTTCCCCAAGTAAGAAAATTTTTATGATATCCCAGAGTACCAACTAACCTTCCTAAGTCGATGTTTAGCAAGATGCGGGGAAGTGAGTTAGATTATGAGTTGATACTCTGCACATCCAGGTGAGCTAACAGGGCAGTGACTTTATGAAGGTTGAGCAGTTTGGGATCCCAATACAAGTTCTTTAGCAGGACTTTGCATTTGTTCAGCAGTTCTTAGACTTTTAAGACTTGTTTTGTGTGTGGGTGTTTTGCTTGCATGTGTATGTGTGCACCACTTGTGTGCCTGCTGCCCACTGAGACTTGAAGAAAGTCAGATCCCCTGGAACTGGAGCTGCAGCAGCCGTGAGCTGTCGTGTGGTTCTGAGAACTGAGCCATCTCTCCAGCCCTAGACCTCAAATGTTTTAATTTTGGAATCCTTTCACATATTTTAAAATAGTTAAAGACCTTTAAAGGGCTTTTGTTTATGAAAATAACAATTATGAGTTTATAAACAGAGTGGTATTGGTTTCATTTTTTTCCCCAACTGTTTTTGTACAATTAACACACTTGGAGTCTGTATTTTGTGCTCATTTTGTGCTTCAGTATCTAATACTGTGCTGCCTCTGACAATTTACTGATAAAAAAAATTCTACTTATACATTTGGCTTTATGGTAAAATAAATAGATTCTAAGTTTTCTGTTCTTGGTAGATTTTTCTGATTTTTTTTAAATTTTTTATTTATGTATTTATTATTTTGGGTTTATGTTATATATTTAGATTTGCATAGTGTTTATTATATATTATTAATTTTACTATTTTTATATTATATTCTTATTATAATTATATACTCTAATGGGTTCTTACTTAATGATACCCCAGGGTATCATGACCTGGTACTCACTATGGAGCCTGGGGTGGCCTGAAACTCACAGATATCCACCTGCCTCTGCCTCAAGGAGTGCTGGGATTAAAAGGTGTGCACCACAACACCTAACTTAGATCTTTTTTTTTCTTTAAGGTATGTGTGTGTGTGTGTGTGTGTGAGAGAGAGAGAGAGAGAGAGAGAGAGAGAGAGAGACAGAGAGAGACAGAGAGAGAGAGAGAGAGAGAGAGACAGCAGACAGACAGACAGACAGACACGTCTGTGGGAGTCCAAGGACAGACGAAGGTATTGGATCCCCCAAGAGCCAGAGTTTAAGGTTTGTAATTAGTTTTAAATTTTTACTAAGCATTTCAAGGATGGCAAATGATCTAAAATACAAGCAAACACTAACTGTTAGTGACTTTACTCATTCAGTTATATGTGTATAGAAAACCTGGGTTACTGTGCTAGCTTTTGACTTTTGTGATTATGGGAAAATCCCAGTTTCTCTTTGTTCACTGATTATACTGAAAACAATAAAAAGTCTCAGGAAAAATTTCATCCTAAGTATGATAAGCTCTTAAAGATTTATACTACTCAAATTTTTATTCTGCTTTTTCTTGTTTCTTGTCCTCTGTTCCCTCCCCTACCCCTTCCTACTTTCTTACAGATTCTCGCCTCTATTGAGCTGCTGGCCCGCTCATTGCCAAAAATTCACCGCAGTGCATCAGAACCCTCCTTGAATCGGGCTGGTTTCCAAACGGAAGATTTTAGTCTGTATGCTTGTGCTTCTCCTAAAACACCCATCCAAGCAGGGGGATATGGTGCGTTTCCAGTCCACTGACACAAACTAAATGAGTGAGACATTAAAGTAAGGTAGCAACAAAAACAAATGAATAATTTTCCTTATATTTAAATTAACTAGGATACTCTGTTGTTTACAGGTGAGCCAAAGAATGTTTGTGTTTAAAAACTTAGGAATTGTTTTCCAAATCTTAAAATCATACTGAACATTGACTTTTCAACAACAATGGGTTAAAATATACAAACACTGCTAAACATTTTCAGTGCTTCTTCCAGAGGCTTTACTTCCTATTCTGAATTTGTTTTGTTCACTTGGTTATTCCTGTTATTAAACTCTAGGTTTCTCCCTCTGTTTGGTCATGCAGCTTTTGTTATTATCACTTGTCATAGAACATGCAGAGGAAGACTTCCCTCATGTTCACAGGTGGAAAGTACACAGGCGCTAGCCTCTGCCAGCTGTGCAAAAGTATGGGGGTTCTTTATTTCCTTGAAGCAGTAGACAATGTCTTTTAATAAATTTTAGATGTGAGTGACCAAAAATATCTCTCAGTGGCACATTTGACATAGGTAACATGACTTAACTTTAGATTTTTACTAGAGAATACAAATTAAGGATCTTCTTAGATGCTATCTATATGTTAAAAATGTCTTAGATGTGTAAAAGTCAAAGTTCTTTGCAAATGCCTTGCCCTTTATTCTCACTCCCTCCCCCAAAAGAAACTCCACAAAATTCTGAGACTCTTTAAGGTGCTTGTTTTTAGGTAATTGGTTGCCAAACAACCAAGAAATGGGTTTTTTAAATTATTATATTAGGTTATGCTTACCTTTTGATGTATGTTACAGCAGTCAGCAGTCATGTAGCATTGTGTCTCATAACTTCCTTCCTGCTATCCTTTGTGCAACAAGATCCCACCTTTGATAAATGCCTGATACTCTCTTCTTGATTTCCAGTGTGATATTCTTCTAATGTTTACATTTCTATGTATAGAAAATGAGTATAATGTAACCATGGTGGAATAATAATTTTCTGGTGATTTGGAGAGAGAATCTAAAAGCAAAAAAGTAGAAGAAGCATGTGGTCTTCTAAAAATCCACCATCCTTCATAGTCCCCTACCGGCCAAAGCCTGTTGATATTCAGTTACTCAGTTTATACTTGTGGTAACACTTAAATACAACCCAAAGCAAAAACAATTATTCTACAGACAGATCATATTTTCATATATTATCCTCCTTTGAAAACAGTGAAATAGCTAATTGGGAAAGCTTTAATAATTGGGTTTGTAAGTGCCACAGATAAACTTCTGAAATGCTTTCCTTACTTACATTATTATATTTCATATAAGGAAACTGCCTATTATTATGACTCGTCTTTTGTCCTTCCTTTGGATAAGTTGAGAATGCCGTCATAATTTTATATACTGATTCATGATTCTAAATATAAAAGAGAACATTTCTCATATTAAAAAAAGAAAAAAGAAAAAGCCAGTGCATGGAATCAGGAGGATCACAACTTCAGGGCAGGCCTGGGCTCCATAAAAAGGCCTGTGTCAGAAAACCTAGGACTGGGGATATAGCTCAGTGGTAATGACTTTATAGAATGTGAAAGTGCTTGTACAGTGTTTAATCACCATCATGGGAAAAGAAAATGAGAAAAAAAGAGATCAAACAATGGAATATATTAGAAACCATCGAAATCATGATTTCTAAATCATGACATAAAGATGAATTCAATTGCTTAGTTTTTATACATTTTTAAGCAAGTCAACCAGAGCTATGGATTAAACATACAAAAATCTATTAAGTGTCAGTGCACCCACTTTAAATGCCAAATCTCTATTAATCTTACGGAGGTGGTATTTGGGGTTTGGGTATGTACAATACAGATTAAGTTGGTTTTGATTGTTGTATATAGCTAAAAAAAAGGTTTTACAAAATTTAGTTGGTCCATAGAATACTCAAACATTTTGAGCATATGAAACAGTATATCGAAGGATTTTTTTTTAATGGATCTCTTTCTATAATCTGCCAGCATACCTGTTTTGCTAGTATGTTCCTTTCCTCACCCACTGTCTTTCTCCTCAGCACTGCTAATCTTCATCTGACTCGCTCACACTCCACCCTTTCCTCCCTTCCTGTTTTCCTCTTCTTTTCTCCTTTCTTTAGTAGCAGCACTGACATTCCTAAGCTCTCTCAAGCTGCTCAGAAACTCATATGCTACCCATAGACACCCAGCCATTCCCGCATAGGGTACATAAGCATTGATTTCCCCTTCCACATTTGGCTGCAGAGTGGCCAAAAGGGAAGAATATCAAATATGATAGGTAAGATGTGTAGGTAACATCTACAGGAATAGGAAGCACTAGAATTAACAGTTTCCCTTTGTGTGTTTTGTTTTGTTTTTGTTAGTGGTGCTATATATTCTGTTCTAGGCCTTTTTTTAATTTTTATTTTTAAGTTGTGTGATTTTGGGCAAGTTTCCTGACCACTCTGAACCCCAACTTGTCCACCTGTTAAACAGATTCCTTGTACAGCCCAGGCTGACCTGGAACTCTGAATTTTCTTACCACTACCTGCCAAGTGCTGGGATTACAAGCATGACCTTCTTTGGCCTTTTGGCTCAACAGTGCCTTGGTTAGTTACTCATTAAAAAGAATATTTGATGGAAAGAATGTCTATAGTCCAGTTAGTTGTATTTAAAGTAGGAAATCAAACCTTAATTATTAAAACTTGTTTAGAGAGCTGAGAAAAATGGTGGTCCTGTAATCCCAGCATGAGGAAGAGGATGGCAAGATCAAGACCACCTTGCTAATCTTCTAAACATGTAAAGCATAAGGTTTAGTCCGCCAGTCACTAGCAATAATTATTTAGAGCCAGGCAAGGAAGTACATACCTGCAATCCCAGTACTGAAGAGACGAGGCAGAAAGATCCTGTCTGCCTGTGCTGTGAGTTTGAGGCTTGTCCTGCAGCATGACACCCAGCTGTGGAACCCCCTGCAGCTTGTTACTGTCTGGCTACAGTTGGGCTCTTCACATGCCATGCACATGCACTTGTATTCTTTTCTGGACTCCAGTGACTTGGGGTTTAAACTAGTGACTGGGCTACGAGGTCTGTAATATCAGTGAAATTGGATTGAGGCTTTTCTGTCTTGAAGTTCTTTTGAGATAACTTTTTAAAATCAGCTCTTGTCCTCCCTCTACAGGAGAATTTGCAGCCTTCAAGTAGCCACTCCATCATGGCAGCATCTGCTCTTTATTTCTTAAGTCTTGTGTTCACACAATTTGTTAACATCAAAACACAGTTCTGTTCCTCAAATCTTTTTTTTTAAAGATACAAAATTTTCAATGCATAAGCTCGTGTGGAACAGAATGGAATTTCCTATTCAACAAAAGAGGGAAGAATGTTTTAGGAACCAGAATTCTCTGCTGCCTGTGTTTCTTCTTCAACACAAAGATCACGTGCATACAAGTCTGCCCATTCCCAGGAAGAAAGAGGAGAGACCCTGAATTCTGCCCTTTTGGTGGTCAGGCATGATGGAAAGAATTTGCTGCTGCAGCTTGGGAAATTTGCTATGGAAAGTCTGCCAGTCAACTTTGCCCTTCTAACCACCAGATCAGTTTGTGCCTGGTCGTCTGATGGGGCAGTTTCCAACACCAAGCATCATTCTTGCCTATTCTGGGATTATGTTGTGGAGCACTTTCCCTATCCACCACCGTTAATTTCTGAAGGATGGAGTAAATGCAGCATACCCTTTGTGTAGCACCTGGTCAGTGTTCAACAGAGGTTATCACGGTGAAGCTCTTTAAATTTAGTGGAGGGTGAGAGGTGAGGAGGGACTGCTCTGGGGACTGAGAAAAGGGGATGCTGCATCTTCCTCACCTCCTCCTGCTCTCTCACCTTGGGTTGCCTTGCTCCCTGGGCTTTGCCTAACCACTCGGGCTGGACAGTGCTGGCACACATTGCCTTCTTTTCTCATTGGGTCCAGCAATGGAGGTGAGGGTTAGGGGATTGTTTCCTCCACAATGTAGCAAATTCTCAGGAAAATACAGTCCATATCTTCCTCTCAGTTCTTCCAGTCACCAAATACTTACATGGCTACCTTGTCCAGAGCACAAAATGCCATGGACAGCATCTAATTAAAAGCCTACAAAACTGCTTACTGACAGTTTTGAATGTGAGAAATTAGTGTAATTTAAATGTAAGGTACAGATTTTAATTTCTGAGTTTCTTCTATTTTTATTTAAAAAAAATAATTTTCAGGTTTAATTGGATTAAAAGAATATTTCCCACCAGAATATATATCCTGAAAATTATATTTTTGTTAATTGTAAGCAACTTTTAAAGAATGATTATTATCCTTTTCTTTACCTAAAATTATGGGGAGTCTTAGCATAATGACAGTTATTTATACTTTTTAAATTAATGGTACTTGCTGGATCCACACTAACATCTTTGCTAGCAATCCCATTGTTTATTCCAACTTAACGCCTACACTACATCCTACATCCTCTTTCTAGTCTTTTATCTATAATATGCAACCTAAAATAAAAATGGTGGTGTCTCCATTCATTCTCCTTCCTTTTTTCCCCAAGCCTGGTCTTCAAAAGGTTGGGTAACTTAGAAGCTGAGTTCCCTAGACAGAAATAGAACTGTTAGGGACATTGGAGTTAAAGGAAGGTGTGAGGCCTGTCGTCAATTGTTTATATAGAACCCTAAATCTGAACTTTGCACAGATCAAAATTATAATCTAGTTACAACTTCCTTTGGCCTTTATTTAAGGGTAATTTAAGAAAATCACTAGTAGCAAAGAAAGTGACTAGATGTATTAATGGCCTGTACCTTTCTTATCCAGGAATCTTGAATTTAGAAATGCAAATTAAAAGAGATGTACTTAGCAACTACACTATAGCCAAGAACTTTAAAAAAAAAAAAACCTATAGAATCTAAAATAAAATGGAGTTTTAAATTATTTTCAAATTATAACTGATCCCACTATATATTTAAGCCTCCTCAAAACAGATGATTTTTTGCGAAAATATCTGTAATCAAAGGAAGGCCTATCAAAAATTTTATGAATCCCCGTAAACTGGAAAATATTCTGAACTTATTAATCAGCAGCAATGCATTTTTAAGTCTTTCATGGGCAGGACAGTATCTTAAAAACCTTAGAAACTGAGATGAAAATGATTCCTATGGATATAAAAAATAGCCTCTGCGTGTGCTATGCCACATTTGAAAGACATTGTCACCCTTTTAAATGCTTCTTAGCATGGCTTTGTTGCCTTTGCCCAGGATTACTAGAAAGAGCTAGGCTTTGGCCATTGATGCACATTTAGGTCCTGCTGAGGAATTGGAGCCTCCTTGGTGCATGGCCACCTCCTTACTGGAAGAGGGGGCCAGCACCCTTAAGGAGGGAGCTGAGCATGTGAGTGGTCTAGACACAACGAGAAGAGTTCCTTCTTCCTTTCATTTTAGTGTAGGTTGCTATCTCACTTGAAAAGGGAAAGTAACGTTGATAGTAAATGAAGCTGTGCCCAGAAGCCAGGCTCAGGGTATTGAGAGATTTTTTTTAAAATAGAGAATATAAAAAGTAGAAATAAATATTTAAACCTTTCTTATTTTCTATCAAATAGTTTTCTTGTTTACAAACAACATGAAAAAGGTTTCCTTTGTGGTTTTTTTTTCTTTATTTTTTTATGCTTAGACTGCAGATAATCTTGTTGAGCTCCTAAGACAAGGAAGTCCTTGTTTGTGCAGAGCACTTTATGAGTAAGTATAGACAGAATGTGGCTGCTTTTCTCATCTTATAAGGCTGTAGCTGTCAGTCCAGAAGTGGTTGTGGTGCCTCCTGAGATCTTTTTTGTTTGGGTTAGGAGTGGAGTCTTGGAAAAGTTTGAGAACAACTATGTAAAATTGTTTTTAAGTATGTAGTATTCCTGATGGACTTTTCATCATTAAGCTACAGGACCCAAACTTTTGCCACTGAGATATTATTAACCTTGAAATGTAGTTTAGAGAAGGAACTTGTGAATAATATATCCAGTGTGATCCTTTATACTTATATGCATCTTCAACGAAGATTGTATAACTGTCAGATTCTGGTTCCTGAACAGCCCATTTCTTAAGTATATATGAGGTCTGGGAAGGCGTAATGAGGCATCCTAAAAGATGATCCGATATAAACTAACTGTATGCTAGATTTTTGCTGGTACGGGAGAAAGCATTATGTAAAGATGTAATTCAGGACTTGAGCACTGTCCACCAGAAACCTTGTAAATACTTCCTTGGTCTTGGTGCAGTCCCACTTTTTTATCATGTGATGTCTTGTACTTGTCAGGCACTGTCAGAGCTGCTGTTTGTCCTCTGCAGATCTCACCTGTCCCCGTCGCACATCCACCTCCCGGCCTCTTGCAAACCTCAGCATCTAGCTTTAGTTGGAAATGCAGTGCAGGGATCAGGTGACCTCTTCAAAAACTACCTCCTCAGAATGAGGTAATGCACAGTTATTTATTTTAAAGTGTGAAAAGTCAGGAGCTCTAGAACATGAAGATGATACAAGATTTTAACGTTGATGTGTACTTGTAGTCGAGTACTTGTTTTGTCCTAAAGGGCATTATACATTTAAGCAGTGATACTGTTTAAAATTTTCTTTAAAGGTGTAGCTGAGAGTATCTACTGTTGTAATTGGTACCAGAGTCTGCTTAATGTATTCCAGAATCTTAACCTTAAATCAGTCGCATGAAGTTAAATAGTTACAGTAACACTTTGCTAACAATGATAAAATTCTACTTCTCAGTAGTAGGTTTGGCAAAACAGTACACCTTCAAAGTAAGTTGGCCACACAGCTTTGTCACACACAGAGATGTTCATCTAAAGAGACTGCCCAGCTAAGAGGGTAGAAGGATAGATACCCTTTTTATAAGATTCTCTTCTTTGTCCAAGCTGGCATTGTCAGTGCTGTAATACCTGCACCTTGACCAGCAGGTGTCAACCAATAAGCTACTTTTAAAACCATAGCCAGAGATGGAAAGTTCACTGTGAGTAGAAACAGCAGGTAGCTTACAGGAGTGAGACAGTGTAGGGAAGCTCTAGAAAAATACCTTGACAATTTGCCAAATGATCTTACTGTGCCTTCATGATGCAATAAAAAAGCTAACATTTTAGCAGAAATCAGTGAGTTATGAAGAGAACAGCCAGTCTGGTTTAACTCAGCTGTGTTAATATTTTTTAGAGTGCAATTTAGACTGCGAAGATAAATGCAGTAAAGAGTTTATAGCCAAAATCACATTTAAAAAATGAGAAAATGGTAAATTTTCAATGAACAAAATTATTTTTTTAAAGTGCATAATCCCTAGTATAGCCAGAAATATTTACCACATAGAGCAAATAGGTTGAAAATACAGTTCAGTGACATTTCTAGAGAAACTTTTTCTACTCTCATAGGCTCTTCAAAGCATGGAACTTTTATACACGTTTGACATTTTAAGATACTGCTGTAGTTTAGTTTTGAAGTAGTTTGTGCTGGGCAGCAATCATGTACTAACTCAGTAAGAAAAACACATTGTAGGTCTGATTTGTTTCCAAAGAAATGCTGCCAACCTAGACACCGAGTGTTCAAAGCTTGAAGTGTGAACTTACCTACCAAGACCTGTTTGCAAACAAAGTTAGCTAGTGCTGCTGACTGCTCTAGTGCATGGTGGAAGACAGGGCTGTCTGTGCGAGTGTCTTTTGTAAAGGGACATTGGAATAGTCAAAGACTTGGCTAGTGCAGTGCATGTAAACTGGACACTCCATGCTGTGGTCTTTGCATCCTCTCTCCTTACTATCCCCAATATGTCCTTTAGCTGTTTCACTCAGATTCCAAGATGAGTTACTGATGCCAGAAGGGACTGAAGTGGTCAGTGTGTTTGTGGTCCATATTGCTAACTCTGGTATAGTTGAAGATGCTGGCCAGATGTTTGTTACATCAGTACACCAGACAATAACTTAAATACTTTCAGATAACTTATTTCTACTTCCATTTGGGCAGACATTTAAATTGAAATTCAGGCCTAATTTTTGACATTTGAGAGGAAAAATTAACAGTTCCTCCTATGAGGTATTTTTGAGGTAGAACCTGAAGTCCTAATCTGTCTTTCCCCACTGGGGTTTGCAGCAAGGATTCTACCACTGAACCACATTTCCTAGTATGTAAAATGTTAACAGTTAAAAATCTCTAAAATCTCTCTCTCTCTCTCTCTCCCTTTCCCTCTTCCCCTCTCTCTCTCCCTCTCCCCCACCCCCGTCCCTCTCGCTCTCTCTTAGGGACACCTAGCTATCACCTTATTAAAGTAATAAAGGTGGATCCTTTATTTCAGTCTTACAACTCCATGTCCCTCTTATTACTCCATCTGTGTCACTAAACTGTTTACTTTTATTTAGCTGTTTTGAATAGTTGCAGTGATATAACCAGTT